TGAATGATTACCTCAAGGAAAGTAAATATTTGACAAAAAATAGCAAAACCAAGTTTAGTCCTCAGATTGAATATTTCCGGTGGCTTTTTAATGACTTTGTGCTGATTGTTCTTCTAGAGTAGTTTAAGAAAATAGTATTTAATAGTGTAGCTAAATTAACTCTTCAAAATGCAGCCTTTTGTGGAAATTCTGTTGTAGCTATGTTTTGATGTAGATAGAGGATGAGTTAGAGGCGAGGGTGTCACGGTAGCCTGAAGGACATGTTAATTGTGTGCATTTTCAGTGTTAAATTTTAGCTTGTCAATAGCAATTTGTTCTCATTTCCAGGTCTGGGATTTGGGCCTTGGTTAAACGTGTGACAATAGCCTGAAGCACATTATTTTGACCTTGGAGGGCCACAGAAGTGAACTCTTAATGAAAAATGAGTTATTCCAGATGAGATCAGAGAGTGCTAGCCTCTTCTTAGAGTTACACCCCACTTGATTAGGGATAGGGGATTTAATTCTCTCTTTTGATAGTCTTGGTCACTTTCTGTTGCTACCTTCACTCTTTCAGGAATCCTAAATATATTTACAAATGACCTGGTTCATTTGACGAAGAATGCCAACAGAATTCCCAAACCTGGGCTAGGTTCTGGGGATGCAAAGAATTTTAAGACATGGTAGCTGTCCTTTTAAGGCCTACAAGGGGGATAGGTATGAAAACGAGTGTCCTGAAGTGTTAGGACCTGTTACAAAAAGGTCTGTACACAGTTCCTGGGAGTCTTCAGGAGGAACCTATGTGGTAAATTCTATAGGGGAGGGTGAACTAAAGCTAATGTGCATAGTATTTATGTGTAGAAAAAAATGTTAATGGTTATCTCAAGTATGGAATAGCAGGTAATTTTCTTGGCTGTATTTTCTAATTTTTTATCAACAGACAAAATATTTTTTTATGAAAAAAATCCAGTTTTTTTTTTTTCCTTTTTGTCTTTTTTACTGACCGGTAACAGGATCGCAACCCTCGGTGTCGTGCCCGCACTGCTCTCAGCCAGTGAGCGGGAACTGGTCTCCACATGGGATCTGAACCCACGGTGGGAGCGCCGCCGCACTCCCAAGCGGCGCACTCTCCAGTGCGCCACCGGGCCGGCCCAAAAATCCAGTTTTAAAACAGAAACCATACCACTGTTGATTTTGATATTGCAGAAATTGGCTAGCTCTCTTGTGAATTTAAGGGCAGAGGGAAACTAAATGAGCAGCCATTTTATGCTAGGGTTCATGCTTTAACATTAACTCATTTAATTCTCAGTAATGCCCCTGAATGGCTTCAACCTCATTTTACAGATGGAGAAATTGAAGCTCAGAAAGATTGACAAAATCAATGAGAGATCTGGGTCTCCAAACTCTATGGCCTTTCCATTCTATTCTCCTGGTTTTCCAAACCTTTTTTGGAAGAAGAAATCGTTGATGTTGGCTATTTTTAAGCCCATCTTAATTCTGTTCTAATATTTCTTGCACAGTGCCAAACACGGTAACTTGAATACAGAAGGTTCTTTAATAGAAGTGTGTTTACAGGATTCTGCTACACCATGGTGCATCCAACTTCTGACCTTTCCCGGTTGAATTAAATATTCATAATTCATCTTTAAAAACCGTAAAAATGAGTATTAGTAATGTTTTGAATGCTACTGTTTTGTCAGTAAGTTGTAATTCTTTAGCAAAACTGCCTGAACTTGGCAAATGAAAGGGTTTTTAAAATTCCTTTTCTGTTTGGAATTAGCTGAGCAAATAACTCTTATAAAATGAGCATGTTGAGTTTAGATAATCTCAAACATTCTTTTCACTTGCAGTCTTTTATCAGCCTGTTAGTTAACTTAAAAGATGCTATTCAGAGGGTTTTCAGTATTTTTTAAATACTCTCCTCCCTTTTTAAAAAAGTGCTTCTCTGCTTGGTACTGATGAATTCACAGAGCTGCAGACCTTGATAGCAAAATCATCATATAGAATAGTTTTTATTTTAGAATTTGACTGTGTTCCCTAGAAACGCATGAACTTTTGGACGGCTCACTTCCTAGGGGTAGTGATTTCTCTTTCTTTTAACCACACTTTTCTCAAAGCTTATCAAATTCTTTCTTTTTCTCTTAGTTTTGTTTGTTGCCTAAGCTTTATCTTTGTCTAATATGACAATCAGGCAGACATCCAACTTCATTGTAAATGATATTTTTTTCTGATTATAAATGTAATTCATAATTATTGTAGAAAATGTGGAAAGTACAGAAAAAGTAGAAAGACATAGTGACCTTTTTGTTCCTTTCCTTATAGTTTTTTCTTATATTTTTAGCATAGTTGAACATCTATATATTTTATTTTATTTTCTTCACTTAAACATATCCTAAAACACCTATTCCTTCATGTCATTAGAAACTTTAAATGGCTACACATTATTATGTATATGATTAGGTTGAATCATTCTCACGTTATTGAAAATTTTTTATGCATGAATGTTTCTCCACATTCCTGAGTATTTCTTTAAATAAAATCTTGGGAGTGTAATTATTGGTCTGAGTACAAACACTTGAAAGGTTTTCATTATGGCTACAATTCTTTTCAGAAAGTTGTTTCAGTATAGAGTACCACTAGGTATTGCCTGAGAGGACATGCTGCTATGTTTTATTGCTAATTTGATGGGCAAAAACTAATGTTTTTAAAATTTTTTAGTTGGGCAAACTGAATTAATTTATACTGAGTAGAGCATAAAGAGCCCAAGAAAGAAATTGTAAATGTTTTAGTCTTAGCAGTAGTATTTTTGTGAAGTTCTGTCTAGTATAATTAAATATTTTTGCATTTTTGCTAGCAGCCACGTCCAGTCTAATGATTTTTTTTTTTTTTTTTTTGTCTCCTTTTTCGTGACCGGCAACGGATCGCAACCCTCGGTGTTGCTCCCGCACCTCGCTCAGCCAGTGAGCGGCCGGTCTGTATGTGGGACCCGACCCCTCGGCGGGAGCGCCGCCACACTTCCCAAGCGGCGCACTGCAGCAGTGCACCACCGGGCTGGCCCCTAATGATTCTTATATAGCTTTTTGGGGGGCGTTGTTGATACATACCCCTTTGAGATAAAATCTGATGAAATCTATGTATTTTCTCTTTAGAAAAATGTACCTCAGTATGCATTTGTTCATTTTATTTCAGGAGTTAATTGGACCCTCTGAAGACTGCGTGGACTTGGATTAAAAATCAGTATTCTAGTCTGAACTGTGGGAAGAAGGGATAGTTGGTGAGTCTTTGGCAAACCGGATTTTGTTTAGTAATTGCAAATTCCTGAACATACTAGATTTACTAGGTAATGTTTAGTACAGAGGGAAGTAAGCCAAGCTCCAGGTATTGTTTTGCTAATTTGGCAGCTCAAATCAAGAGTGCTGTGAGATTATGCATGGTTTGACTTGTCTTTGACAGAGTTCTGTTGAAACACGAATTCAGCTGTCTTTTAAAAAAGAAGTATTGATATACTAAGTATTGTTAGTTTGGGGCACCTTTCTCCTAATCTTGAATTTATCTTTAAAAACTTTTTTTCCCCCCAGACGTGATTGCTATGCATGTTTTTAAAATTTCCTTTTTACTCTTAGTTTCTTCCATAGCTTAGTCTTTACTTCATGGCTTATCAGGATACTTAATGGCAAATTGGATACAAAGAGGTGTGTGAAGCACTGTGGTGGGGGATGGAGTTAGGGCTGTGGTAACTGGAGAGGGTAGCCCTGACTCTGAAATATATAAACACACGTGAGTAAATGGCGATGTGTTCGGTGATGTTTAGGTTTTATTACTAACATTCATACAAGTAACTTAATGAACTTTGATATTCTGTTTCCTAATTACCTTTTTTTCCTTCAAATAAGCCTGTTTTGGGGATAAGTTTTTTTTTTTTTTGGCCTTTTTGAGAGCAGCTGCACTGCACTCAGCCAGTGAGCGCTGTGAGCGCACCGGTCATATAGGATCCGAACCCGCGGCAGGAGCGCTGCTGTGCTCCCAGTGCCGCACTCTCCCGAGTGCGCCACGGGCTCGGCCCTTGGGGATAAGTTTTATGGAAACAACCATCCTAGCAAAATAGATTGTTTCTTTTGGGAGTTGCCTGTTTTCATCTTTTATGCTTATTTAATTTTTTGGCTTGTTCAACTTATTGTAAAAGCTCTTTAGGGCCGAGCCCGAGGCGCACTCGGGAGAGTGCGGCGCTGGGAGCACGGGAGCGCTCCCGCCGCGCGTTTGGATCCTATATAGGGACAAACGGTGCGCTCACAGCACTCACTGGCTGAGCGCGGTGCGGCCGGTCTCAAAAAAAAAAAATAAAAAAAAGCTCTTTAAGGCTATTATAAATTACGAAACATTTTTTCCCTAGTCTTTTTGCCTTTCACCTTTGCTTATGATAAATTTGACCTATAGAAGTTTTAGATATTTGTGGCTAACAGATTTTACCTTTTAAAGTTTCTATTTTGGGGCCAGCCCGTGGCTCACTCGGGAGAGTGCAGTGCTGATAATAACACCAAGGCCCCGGGTTCGGATCCCATATAGGGATGGCCGGTTAGCTCGCTGGCTGAGCGTGGTGCTGACACCACCAAGTCAAGGGTTAAGATCCCCTTACCGGTCATCTTAAAAAAAAAAAAAGTTTCTATTTTGGTGGTACACTCTTCCCATTCCCCTGAAGTCACTTTTTCTTTTTTCTTTTTTTTTTTTCCCTTTTTGTCTTTTTTCGTGTCCAGCAACGGATCGCAACCCTCAGTGTCGCGCCCGCCCGTACCAGACCAGGACCGGCAACGGGATCACAACCCTCGGCGTCGCGCCCGCACCTCGCTCAGCCAGTGAGTGGGAACCAGTCTGTATGTGGGATCCGAACCCTCGGTGGGAGCGCCGCCGCGCTCCCAAGCGGTGCACTGTAGCAGTGCGCCACCGGGCTGGCCCCACTTTTTCCTTTCCACACCACACCTGTTCTTTTTTTTTTTTAGGATGGTCCGTATTATTTATCTTTGTAGAAACCAGATTCTTCCTACACTCCCCATGTACAAGGACAGAATCAATAAGCAAAATATTTCTCGGTCCCTTTGTCTCCTACCCCGTGACTACTTTCAGGCAGCCTTCTCTGATCTGGTCCCCTGCCTCTGGTTTGTACTCTAAAAACTTAACCATCTGATAGTATTGAGCCTGATGGTATCAGACTGTGGTATAAGTGCGACAAATACTTAGTGAGTCAACATACATCAACTCTGGAAAGATTCAGACTCCTAATGCTGTCTCTTTTTTTTTGGACAGGTCTGTGGTTTTCCTCCTTAAAGGACACAATGTTTTCTAAACTAGCACATTTTCAGGCCATTGTGGTGCTTCGTCGTGGAGTTCATTCTTCTTTGGCTTCTGCTGCATCTGTTACAACTAAAAGAACAGTCCAAGGCCCTCTATCTTCTGATTACATTTTTGAACGGGAATCTAAATATGGTGCACACAATTACCATCCTTTACCTGTAGCCCTGGAGAGAGGGAAAGGTACATTTTGAATTCATTCCGTCCTTCCTCCTTTTGCTTGAAGCCTTTTATAAAAATTAATTGCTTTTATATTTTCTCAGTATACATTTTTCCAGATGTATTTAATGTCTATTTTGCAGATATGGTTAATTCAACATTTACTCAGTGTCTGGTGCTGTTGTGTCAGGTGCTGTGGGGGCTACAAAGATGAACTCATTTAGTCTTTGTCATGGTAGACCTCACCGAGAGGGAGTGCAAAGGAAATAAGGAAAGTACTGTAATATTGCTGTTGTCTTTTTTCTTTTAACTTTTATTTTGCCATAATTTTAGATTTTTCAAAGAAAAGTTGTAACAGTGGTAGTACAGTACTAAAAACTTTCTATTAGTCTTTACCTGGATTTCCCAGGTGGTAACATTTTACCACTTTTGTTTTGTTCTCTTTCTCTTTTTCCCTCACACTCACACATATTATACATTTTTTTCTGAACTGTTTGAGAGGAAGTTGCAGACATGATGCCTCTTTACCCTTAAATACTTGCTGTGTCTTTTCTAAACCACAAGGACGATTTCTTTTATAACCACAGTGTAATTATCAAAATCAGGAAGTTAACACTGATACAGCATCATTATTTAATCTATAGACCTAATCCAGATTTTATTTGTTCTTTATAACAAAAGAAAACCTCAGATCATGAGTTGGCATTCGGTTGTCAGATTTAGTCGTCTTTAATTCAGAACAATTCCTCTTTGTCTTCCCGACCTTGATATATATATTTTTTTAAAAAAGATGACCGGTAAGGGGATCTCAACCCTTGGCTTGGTGTTGTCAGCACCACGCTCAGCCAGTGAGCAAACCGGCCGTCCCTATATAGGATCCGAACCCACGGCCTTGGTGTTATCAGCACCGCACTCTACCAAGTGAGCCACGGGCCGGCCCCCGACCTTGATATTTTTGAAGCATATAGGCCAATAATTTTGTAGAATGCATCTCAATTTGGAGTTGTCTGGTGCTTCCTCATGGTCAGAGTCAAATTATGTACCCTTGCTTAGTGATATTGTATCCTTCTCTGTACATCACATCAGGAGATGTCCACATATTCTGTTACTGCTGCTTTTGTCTTTGATCACTTGGTAAGGTAGTTCACTAAAAAGTTACTATTTTCCCTTTTGTATTAAGTATCTTGTGAGGACTAGTTTGGGATTCTACAAATATCCTATTTCTCATGAAACTTACAATTTTAGCATCCATTAATGAGTCTTGCCTGAATAAATGATTACTATGATAGTCATCAAATGGTGGTTTAATCTGCATTTCGAAACAACAACTTTAACCAAATGAAATCAAAGTTTATTACCTAGCTTTATGCCAGAAAATGACAATATTAAGAGTATTAAATGTTTTTGTCCTTTGCCTGTATTTTATTTGAGACCAGTAGTGTAATATAGACATATCTTCTTTTGAACAAATGAAAATCTAGATTATATATTACAAGTTTGGGAACAATTTGCTTTACAAAAATAACTCTTCACCTACTTTAGCAAGGTGTGGACTCTGGGACTCTGGCTGTCTGGGTTCAAGTCCATGTTCCATGTGTGCCAGCTTGGGCTACATGCTAATCTAAATGTCTATTTCCTTACCTCTATAGCAGAGATGGTAACTCTCATAAGGGGGGTTTTGATGTAATAAGGTATGAAAGCACCTAACACAGTATGGTACACGATAAAAGGTAGGTGTTAACAAACTCCCCCAATACATTTTAATTTCTATAGTCAGTTTTTAAAAATTGTTATAAAATACACATAAGAAAATTTACCATTTTTAAGAATTTAATTCAATGGCACTAAGTACATGCACAGTGTTGTGCAGCCATCACCTTTATCTAGTTCCAGAACTTTTTCATTACTCCAAAAGGAAACCCCATACCCATTAAGCATTCAATCCCCATTCTCCCTGCCTCACAGGTGATGGCAACCACTAATCTGCTTTTTATCTTTTATGAATTTGCCTGTTCTGGATATTTCATGTAAATGGAATCATATGTGGCCTTTTATGTCTAGCTTCTTTCACTAGCCTAATGTTTTCAAGGTTTATTTATTCATGTTATAGCATGTGTCAGGACATCATTCCTTGTTATGGCTGAATAATGTTCCATTATGTGGATAGACCACATTTTGTTTACCATTCATCAGTTGAATTGTTTTCATCTTTTGACTGTTCGGAATAGTGCTGCCATGAATACTCATGTACAAATTTTTGTTTGAACACCTGTCTTCCATTCTCTTGGGTATATACCTAAGAGTGGATTTGCTGGGTCATATGATAATTCTGTGTTTAATTTGTTGAGGAACCGCCGCTACCAGTATATGAGAGTTCTGGTTTCTTCACATCCTTTCCAAAACTTGTTTCCTTTTTACAAAAATTATAACTATCCTGGTGAGTATTCTCATGATTTTTGTGAGTTATGTGTAACTTCTGCTTTTAAATTCTAATTTTGGCTCTTAAATGTTAAGAATATAGGTAGAGGTTTCACTCCAGAGTTTTGTGTTATTCTTGTTAAATGTATATTTTGTTAAATGTGTCTTTTGAAGCTGGACAGATGAAATATAATCCTTTACAGTTCCTTATAAACCAGTTTATTATGCCTGAGCTAAAACAAGCCTTAACTAAAAGTATGTATTAAATAGACATTCATATGTAGACATTCATATGTAGGCATTCAAAGGGCTTGCTAGTAGTCCTAATCTTTGGACTTGACATCATACAGTAATTTTCTAAAATTATTTTCCTCCCTTATATATTTTAGGTGTTTACGTATGGGATGTAGAAGGCAGAAGATATTTTGACTTCCTGAGTGCGTATGGTGCTGTTAACCAAGGGCATTGTCACCCTAAGATTGTGAATGCCCTGAAGAGTCAGGTGGACAAATTGACTTTAACATCTAGGGCTTTCTATAATAACGTACTTGGTGAATATGAGGAGTATGTTACTAAACTCTTCAACTACCACAAAGTTCTTCCTATGAATACAGGTAAAGCATTTCCTTTTTTTTGTTGTTAAATACCCCCCAAAATAATCTTACTATTTTCTGATAATTTAAAACATTTTTTAAATCTGAAAATATCTCCCTTTGATAGGAGTGGAGGCTGGAGAGACTGCCTGCAAACTTGCTCGTAAATGGGCCTATACTGTGAAGGGTATTCAGAAATACAAAGCAAAGATTGTTTTTGTAGGTATGTGAAATTAAATATTATACTGCTATGATTTAAACATACAGTATCATTTACTATTTTAATTTATTGATGAAATATTTCTAATGTATTTGCCTGGTACATGATACATTATTTGCTGAACGTTTCATAAAAATTGAGTGATTTCCTCTTCTTGGGTTTATTTCTAAATTATTTCTTCATATGTGGGGTTTTTCTTTCTTAACTCCCTACTCTTCCCTCCCTGAAGTGAGTGGTTGTATAATTTAATTTCTCATCCGTGCATCAGATTTTCCCATAGCAGTTTGCCAGTTAATAAGATCGTCTTACTGGTGGAGAGTTTTTGTTAGGTGTTGGGACTGGTAGATGTTAGAGTGGGGTCATATCCTACTGGATGTACTGTTGCCATGTTCTTCTTAGAAGGTATTGGGAAGAAGAGGCCTGGGGTTGCTCTTGTTATACTTCTGGGAATGGTTGAGAGGAATAACTTGAATTCTGGTTAGGGAGACTAACCATTAATTGGGATGATATAATCTGACTTTAGAATCTTTATATGATGTTCAAATGATAGAGTCTGCCTTTTTTTTGAGCTTCGATTTTAATTTTTAAAAAAACAAAGCATGCATAGATTGGTTATTATACATGGTCAAAATTCATTCTTGTGATAGTTGAAATCATTAAATACTATTGCTTTTAAATGCATGCATTTAAATTATAAACCCCATAACTTAATAGAATCCAGAGTTCAATCAATGGCAGGAGGTAATTGGTATTTGAGATGACAGATTAGATTTCTGAAGAAAAAGTAATCTTTGCACAACTCTGTAACTTGCCATTTAAAAATCTTATGCCTTAGTTGTAGGACAACACAACTATCTCTTGCAAACAAAAATTGTATTTATGGTGATTTTCATTCTTGCAGACTGTGTTCAGTTTCTTTCATATTAGCAAAGGGTGCAAAGATGTTTTCACCTGAGCATTGAAAGAAGCTGATGAGTCAGTGGGGTGGAGAGACAGAGGAAGACTGTCCCCAACTGTAAGTCCCTCATGCCTGCAGGGTGAGCTGTGGAGGAGATTGCTGAGGTTAGGCAGAACAGAACAAATAGGCTCATTGTCTAATCACTGCATTTTTTTTTTAAACAAGGCTGGTCAAAATCAATACGTTATTGTTTGTGGATGAGTAAAAGATTATTGTAGACGAAAGATGCAGGTGAAAAAGGCTTTGCAAGAGTAATATTTAGAGATGCAATGAAGCCAAAGCCCAATAATCCAGTCCTGAGTTAACTGAGTTGCTGGTGGCAGAGGTGTTGGGAGGATTAAAAAAAAAAAAATTCATAATGTAGGCAAATCCCCAACTTCTCTATTATTCTACATTGTTTCTTTCCTTCTTGAATTTAACCCAATCTGAAATATCTAGTTCATTTTTCTTTACTGGTTTATGTTATGGTGTTTCTTCCCTACTAGAAAAGGAAACTCCTTGAGGACAAGGAGCTCGCCATATGTGATCACCATTCTTTCTCAACACCTAGAACAGTTGCTGACGTATGATAGGTCTTCAATCACATTTATTTATTTATTTATTTATTTTTAAAGATGACCAGTAAGGGGATCTTAACCCTTGACTTGGTGTCGTCAGCACCACACTCACCCAAGTGAGCTAACCGGCCATCCCTATATGGGATCTGAACCTGGAGCCTTGGTGTTATCAGCACCACACTCTCCCGAGTGAGTCACGGGCCAGCCCCAATCACATTTATTAATGAATTAAAAAATGTTCCTGAAGAAAGGCAGATGTCTGTCATTTAGCATTATAAAGGATAATATCAGGGAAGGCAAAATGGAAAGTGTTTGGATTGTCTGAGAATCTTCAAATGAAACCAAAAATGCATTCTGTAGAGTAGTTAGCTTGCAGTATTAGATTTTTAA